CGAGAGGTTAAACAGATTTGCTGGAAAAGTGCAAAGGTTCTTTTTCTGTTGTAGTACAGCTGATAATTTGAGGTAGTGAGAACTACATATACTTCTAACCCAAAAGATAATTGTTTGCTACTGATTACCCTTAGTAACAGTGTAAAGTCACAAGGGCTGGCCTAAGGGTGTGGCACAGCTGTTTCTTTTATTCATATTTGTATAACACTACTTTTATTGTTATCATGGCATTACTCTTCATAGAAACATCAAGTAAAAACATTTCACGGCATTGGAGTCTATGCTACAGATTTGCCCACAAAGAACTAAATGCTGCTATTGCAGAGCAGATGCAGATGGTGGCAGAGTTTTGGTAACATTTACATCAGCATAGAAAGTTGGCTTACCTCCAGTAAAGCCTCTTTGTTTTTATCATTCATTTCTTTGCTTTCATTCCTCCCTTTGTTTGCCAGGTAGAAATTCTGATTAAGACACAAAAGAAATTGACATTCATTACAAAGACAGCAATACAAGTAACTAGATCACTACAAACTCATTCAATAGTTACTCAGTCTTTCAATATTGAGTGCCCAAACCAGAGATGCAAGAGGCAGATGCATATGGACTTTTTTTATAGAAAACTTTAATCACAGCTGCCTGCTTAGAAGTTTTAATGCTTTATTTAGAATATAATTCAAAAGTGATACAAAATTACTTTTGCCTATGTATATACAGCCTCACAAAATTTTAAAAACAGTGGGTTATGGGTTTGACTGTTTTTCTGGATTAGTGGGTTCGATTTTATCATTCCAATTTTCACCCCTTCCTATATTATTACAGGTAGTAGAGAACATAACATTTTATTGCATACTGATACATGATGAATTCAAAGCAATATCAAAAGGGTAGAAAGCATTTTTCCTAACAATCCAATTTGGTAATTTGCACGCTTCATATCTGGCACTCTGGATATAACTCAGCTCTTAATTTTTAATAAAAGTGCTTATATGCCAAAGCCTTTATCCAAAGTTACTACTTTCTACTTTTAAACCCCTGCTCATGCTCTGCGAAGTATTTTTATGCAGTGAAGAAGTTATTCAAAAATCCAGAAGAAATCAGAAGAAATGATCACCATGATATCTCAGCACACGTGCTCCAGCCTACTGACACAAAAGTCTACACTTTGAAATGCTCCTCTGTTTCTGTGACAGAGGGCTGTGAAGCTGCAGCCGCCCGCAGAGGACCCAGTGCCCATCTGTCCCTGCAAAGAAGGAAGCACAGCGCCTCATGCACACAGTCACCAGTAAAAGTAACAGCTACCCACTGTTAAACAGCAAAACCAATTTTGCATCCATCTGCATTGTACAGATGGACAAAAGGACAGTACTTGGATACATGTGCAAATTCAGGCAGTGGGAAGGTAGCTCAGGAGCACCCTAGGACTTGTGTGCTGGAGCATGTGCAGTGGCTGCTCAACAGCAAGCATGGCCAGACAGAAGAGCCCAGCTGCCTGCAGACGGTAAGGAAGCTGGGCATCAAGAAAGCAGGTAAATCAAGGAGCTATGCCATGTATCATGTAGCATTTAGATTCATGGCCTTGAGGCCAGCATAGTAACACTCAAAGTTCTTGTGTTTTATCATTTTCTAAACAAAAGTATACGTAGAAGAGGAGCTTGGGCTTGGAAAATACCTGATGCATGGGACAGTCTTACTGGGTTCCCGGGAACTAGTTAAAAAGCTAAGTTTGCACAACAAACGGCATAAAACAAACATACACCATTGTCTAGGAAACAGACAAAATCATAAAAACCCAACAATTTTTGAAAGGTTTCTCCTTAAGAACTACTCCTAATTCTGTAATTCTTCAGCAATTCTGTAGGAAGAAAACTAAGAGCTTATCTGACTTTTCATTTCTCTCCATTTTTTCATGTCTCCAGACTATGAGAATGTGGCAACTTATTTACATGCCTAGAACGCCACAACGACTAAACTGCAACACAAATGCAAACATTACGAAAAGACAAATGAGATGTGTGTAAACGAAGGAACACGCTGTTGCTATAGTATAAGAAAGAAACAAACAAGCAGCAAATCCACCCTGCCAGCATACCATGTTTACAGCAACAAGGCTTAGCTGAACTGAAACCCTGCTCTTCCACACAACCACATCTTCTTTTTCAAGCAGTGCTGTGAACAGCTGTCTGCCAGAATGCAAGCCTCACATCAGACCGTTTTGGAGGAGCACCAGCAGAGGAAGCGGAAGAGGTGTGGATGATCTCAAAACCAGTTCTTTAAAAACTGCTTTCTTAGAAGGTCCCATTAAGTCAGACAGGGACATCAGAAACACAGCCACCTGCAATTTGGCCGATGCTGATGCCATGTCTGTGGTATGAACATAAGAAGAGAAACTTGAACATTCAATACAACGGACAGTTATGCTAGGAAATATAGCTGGCTCCAGACTGCCTGGGCGCATTTTCAGTCCATGGATCAAGGTAGGCAAACACTGAGGACCACAGCTTCGTGTCTGCATATGAAGACAGTATTCATAGCAGAAAAATCCCAAACCAGCTCAAACCAAAATCCACTTAAAAGTGTGTTCTCAGTATAACCCATACAGCAATGCCTGCCTGTGCAGTCCAAAACCACAGGTCTGACTGACAATGCTCCACTCATCCCACTGGAAAAAAAGATACTGTTCTCAGCAGCTGCAGCCAAGTCCTCTGGACATGTGCAACAGTTCTTCTTGACAGGGAGCACTATCACAGCACTGCTGGCTTGATGTTGGCACACCCATTTTTGCATTGATGAAGGTATGAAGAGAAGCCTCAGAGTGCACTGTTAGGCTGGGTTGGGCCTCCAGACTTTGGGATGGATTTGGAAAGTAGAAGGACATGAAAGCTGTAAGCCTTCTTCTTCTATAGGTCATTATAAAGACATAGTACAACCCCTAAAATACACAATGAAGATTTATCAAGGTAAGTACACCTTATCACTGTCTCAATAAAGCTTGGTTCATCAGCTTTACTACCAGTGGGGAGAACATTCATCTGGCTCAGTCAGCCTTCAGTGCACTGATAATAAGAAAACAAAGCTCCTCTGATTACAACTGATTCACATTCAGGCATCTGGCATTTATTTAGCAGAAACACAGACCACCCTGTACTGACATAATCAATGATAAAGAGAGAAAGTCTGTAATGATATCCATGCTGGATCTCTAATAACGCAGCTTTTTCATTAGGGAAACAGGGCTCTGTCACCTAAACTAATGTTACACAGATGTACACTGTCATCTTTCACCTGTCAACAGACATTTCATTTATTACTGATTACCTCCTTTATGTCTCTGCCCTGAAATCTGGAAGTTCATGGTACTTACTAGTTGTCAGTGGCTAAAAACGTGGGGAGCAGACCATACACTGTACTTGTTTTATCACTGTGTGGTCTCCTATTTTTGATCAGAAGCATTCATCCTATAGGAGGCAAACCACATGTGTCCACAAGAGGTCATTCCAAGTCCAGTAGTCAAAGGTCATGATAAAAGGCAAGCTCTTTCCTGTCAGAGGACACCACTGGAAAACGCATGTTTGGTTTGGGATGTCAGGTCATTAATGGGACAAGATGTGGCTACAGGGCAGCTCTCTGTATATGTCTACAGATTTGAAAATTAACTATTTTTTATGTTCAAAAGACAATGTCTTCCTCTTGATAGAGAGCTGAACTTACTTAACAGGATGGATTCATCCTCTTGGGCTGATAACATAAGAAAGCAAACATAAAGGCTTATTTTAACAAACAAAACGAAGTATGCTGGCACACTTTGTCATTGGGTTTGTTTGCACTGTTTGGGTTGTTTGCTGCAGAGATGAGCAGTTGAGGGTTTTTGCTGAATTATGCCCTGTGCCTACACAGCCCAGATCAGCTGAAGCTGACACAAAGCCAGTTGCTCTCCCATGCCATTCTGCCTGACTCTGACTAATGCAGAGCTACAGCGGCAGTTTTGACATGTACTGCTAGCCAGGTATGACATCCTTAAGAGACATTACGGCAGCATTTCCCCCTGTGCTTATGCAGGACAGCTGCAAAACTAGCTGATGACCCATCTATGGCTTTACATTAGCAGGAAATTCCACAGGTACAAAAGAAAATCCTGTAAAGATTTTATAGTAAGCTTGTTAATTTTGTGCTTTGTACTGTAAAGTACCATTAGTCTATGTATACAATCTTTCCATTTAGATAGAGCCATCTCCTTTTGTATGGAAAGGCAGGTAAAAAAATTCAGGCTGTATGTCTCTCTACTCCACCCTCAAACAGTGGAAGACAGAAGGTGTTTTCAATAGTTTCAAAGAACATCTCTGGCTGCATGTAAGCAAACAAAACTTGGATCATGGTAGAAACATAGCCTTTACTACTGCACTGCCAAACTCTCTGATCAGTGTTCCATGTCTCTATATTCGTAAAAAAGAATTTCCTAAATGAAACAGTACCTCTCATACCTTTCATCTTTTTGCATACACAGCCCCATCCAAGCTGGAATGCAGCAGCTACTTGTCAGTACATAACAAAAGTGTTCAAGGCAGCATCCTCCCTCTGCTTAGGTTGTATTTTTGCTTTCAAGCTATTGAAACTGTTTTTCCAGAAGATCTGCAAAGTCTGCAACAGCACAGATCAGACAGGGTGCAGCAAACAAGGCAGCTGCTCCATACTCATTAGAATCTTCTTTGTGCAATGAGCTGCCTATTTACTGCACCCAGAATGAGGGAAGAAGTGGCCAGATCTCATCCCATTTCAGCCCATTGCAACTGCATACTGAATGCAGCACAGTTTGTGCAGAAAAAAATAAACTAGAACACGGTCATATCTGCAACCCATATCATGGTATGTCCCCTAAAAACATGCATACTAAAAATATTAGAAGGTACCTATAATTGCTCTAAAGATCAGAAGCCCCCCAAAATTGATTTTTGACGCTGCTTATTTGATTTTGTAATGTTTGAAGAAATCACCACAGCTGACTTTTCATGCCTTGAGGATCATGGTCTTCACCATCAAAAAGGGGGGAACATGGAACAAATGAAAGACATATGTAAGCTAGGATGCAGCTAACAGCCAAGCACTTTGTAGGCTGATTAAAAGTCACTTGCAAAATAGTTCAAATGTGTAAAGACTGTTTCTGTGTTACAGTCTCAAGGCAGAAAAACAAAAATATCTATTGAAGTAGCATCTTTGACTTGAAACTATACCGTGGCCTGAGATAGACTAACATCAGATACGATTACGATTACCAAAGAGTGGCAGTACAGTGAAAAACACTTCCCTTTTTTACTTCTATTTCTTTGCACATTTGCCAGCACACGCAATAATCAGGTTCCCTGCCACCCTTCTATGTTTCCTTCACTGGGTAACAGGGGAGACAAAGAAAAACCTTGATTCATAAAGGTGGCCAAGGTGGTAAAAAAAGTATCACCTTGTGGATACCAGCCCAGTTTCAATGACTTCAAAGTAAATACTCAGGTGGGAAACTCACTATAGCTGTCCTGTTATGAAAGGCATTACAAATTCCTACCTCCTTCTCATGCTGCTTAGTACTCTTGCTTTTTGGAAGAAATCAAATGTCTATTCAGTGTATGGGTTCTCCATTAGAGGGTACAGCTCTTGCTTTTGGCTTACATATGAGGGAGCAGAAGCATAAAGTACTCACTTTAGAGATTTTCATTAATTTTCATAAATACTGTCCAAAAATAATAAAAAACAACCACCAAAAACCCCCACATGTATGTGGTGTCACCTGCACTGTTTGAATTTATCCTATCTGCTTGCATCAGCAAAAGAGAAACACAGGAAATCAAAATCCATGTAAGCAAAAATCAAATATAGTGTTCCAAGAGTGTGACCAGCATTTACAGTCAGGAGTTTAGGTTCAGCTGCTCCTTAAAAATAAACCTGTTTAAATGAAGCAAAAGCATTTCCTACAGTTTTTTTTTTTTTAGAGTCTCTTTTAGCTGAGAAATATTCTTTGAGCTTTTGAAAAGAGGTGTTGAGACCTGACAACCTTTCCTTTCAAGAGCCAAGCACAGCATCACTCAACTGCATGACAAAGCATCACCTTCCCTATGCCATAAAAGTTTTCTTTATTTGCACATGTTCCAATATGTATTTTTGTTTCACTCTTTAGTCACAGACTTGTGATGCTCCATATCTGTAGATGAGTCACTTGTGCCGTTCATGGAATGGTCTTTTACTGTGAGCTCCCTTCAGGGTAAATTATATCACGGTGAGGAAAGGGCAAAAGCGTGCCTGTCTTTGTGAAGAGGGAGACATCTGAGGCTTTTGCAGATGCTTTTTCTAAAATGTATTCCAAATACTTTAAAAAATTGCTTTCAGAAACAAAGCTGCAGAAAAATACTAGAGACTACTGCATGACAAGAATCACAATCTTCAAAAAAAGCCACTGGCATTAGCTAAGCAGCATGTTGCTAGCACAGACACATAGGATAAATCCTACATTTCAGATCATCAGTTCCTCCTTAGAAAATTAAACATGTTTAATTAATTGTTATTTAATCTATATCAGGTATATAACTAATTCACAGAAAGAAAGAATGAAAATTGGCACAGGTCATAGACCTTCTCCAGAGGTCCACTTGTTTTAGCAATGCATCTGGACATCTTTATAGTAAGATTTTTTTAAAGTATTTAATTGTGTCAAACCTCTGTAATGAAAATTTTGTATCACTAATTTGTCTAAGAATAAATTGTAGGCACCTGGCCACCTTTGACATTTGCATATTTTTTTTTTTTCCAGAAAAATATCCGCAAGTTACAAAACAGTGAGATCTCCACAGACAACCTCCAACAGAATGAGCACTAAATATGACCAACCGAAGGAATCCAACTGCTGCTGCATTACCACCACTGGCTGTGTCAAAAAAAGCACGCTGCAATTTCTGTACTCACCAAATGAGTTTATGAGGCAACCTTGACCAAGCTAGGAGGAAGAGGCTGAATATACTGAGAGTACAGTATCAGAGCACTGGATTTCAGTTTCTCATTGGTTACACCATATCAGAGCACTGGATTTCAGTTTCCCATTGGTTACACCATCATTTTCGTAAGTAGTTAGTTAGGTAATCATACACCCTGTGCCCCACCAACTCAGCATTTCCGCTTGGTTTACCTTTTCAGAGACTCACTCCAGATCATGTATTTTACCATGTTTCATTCTCTAGTGTGAGCTCTGTCTGTACAATATTGACTGTTTTCTGCCAAAAAGACAAACCGTTGATATGACTGTACTATTCTATCTCATGTTTGAATTTGCTAAGCCTGACAGATGGTTAGACTTTATTAGTGGTAAAATATTTCAATAGTGTGATAGCCACAACTGATCCAGTTTCCTTATGCTGTTCATTTTAGAGCTTATCACAGAGGGGCTGAAGCTCAAGGACTGCAGACACGTCCAGATCAAGCTCAGTGTGTCCTGAGATGGGAGGACCGAGCTACACTCTTATTGTGGTTTTAGTTTAGGTCATGTTTATTTCTAAAGGTAGTTGCAATCGAAATGCCCAGACCCTTCATCAAAGATTTACTTCCTATGGGAGGTTCACAGTCTTGCCCTAAGCCACTTGCCTAAATAACACTACTAGTGTATGAATCAAATGTACAATTGAACCTCTGCTGCAAGGTATGTCTATGTGCATTAGAAAGTATAAAATCTTGAGCCATCATGTATGTTTTACTTCCAAAGTTGGCTTTGCTGTTTCGTATTAAAAATCAGCATCACTGTAGATACTAGTTATGTCAATGAAGGAAACTTCCTCTCTGCAGGTTTTATTTGAAACGCTGGCTCATTCTAAAAAAAACCTAACTCCCTAATGAGCAGCTTGGTGAGATTTGCTGCCAAATTATGTATTTGACTCATTTTTTCAGCAATGCTGGATTGCTCATTTTTCTTCTGCAGCCCTCAGGAACAAACCAGATGCTCAGTGAGCTAACAGACTGCTGACAAGGAGAAAAGATCTCGTGCCCCAGAATCCACCAACTGTATGTGCTAGGGTATTTGTAAATATGGTTTTGACTACATATCATAAGAAAGAAATTATTTATGTATACACCTATCCTGATTAATTTGATGCAATTCAGCGTGCAGACCCTCCTTTTACAAAGTTAGTGTGCACAAGTTACTATTCACCCAACTCTTTTCCCCAGTCTAAATGAAAGCTAGATAAACTCCCTGTAGTACTCAGCATACGCTTTATGAAGTTTCTCGTACAACTGGCAAAAACTGGACCTTCCAGGAAATGTTGATTTTCGTCAGTAGAAATAGTAGAGAAACGACAGTAATGACAAAGGCCAGGTTTTTACAGCTGTGCCATCTCACCCCAGTTCTGAGAGCTGTGCCTAAGCCACAGCTTGTACCAGCGCAGAACTACATGCTTCATTTTTTATCGCTGCAGACAGGACTTTAAAATAGTATCAGAAAAAAATATAAAGCACTAATTTTGAAATCCTCACATTCAAAATCCTTGGGTTTTTTTGTTGAAAGTACAAGTTTTACTTTCTCTGATTCCGAACTGACAGAGCTGAAAGCAAATTAATAATGCAATAGCCAGCATACAGACTAAATGACATAATTTTAGACTCTTATCCAAATACCACGTTAGCTTACCTGGGGATTTTTAAATATAGCATATTTTTCACTTTTTTCCAAAAACAGAATCTTATTCTCAGTGTCTCGAGTCCAGTCTGATAACACTTCAACAACATTTTCATGGTCTTCAAAAAATCTTTCTGGAGAGACAGAAAAGGTAATGTAAGACACTCAAACTCTCACTCCCTCCTCCTGAGGCTGCAGAAATTCCTGTATAAGAATGTTAACATTATCTGATGTTTACTCAGAGATGGACAGTCTAGCACTCTTTTCCACTGCACAGAAGGGAGCAAAACCACATGAAAATAGTGTTATGTGGAAGGGCAAATCAGCTACAGAAGATGCCTTATGTAGCTCTGCCATGCTCCTGGATTCCTCCTGCATCTCTGTGCTGTTGCCCAAAGACTGCAAAGGATGGAAACAGTGACCCACTAGGAGCAGATGGTTACACCCATGTCTCTCAACGGTTTTCTGGTTTTGTTGGTTTTTGGTTTTTTAAGGTTTGCAATACGATTGGGGGGGTTGTACATTCACTTTGGCTACTGAATTGAAAAATAGTAGTAAAAACTTACTTCCTTGTCTTTTTACTTATTGGAACAAATGAAAAATTGCTTTTTGTCAGCTAATTCTATGCACTGAAAAAAAAAAAGTTTAGTTTCAAGCAACTGTATTTAAAAACAGGAACAGCAAAAAAGAGTAAATAGGAAGACAGACCGAGAACTGATATGAAGATACACTGTTTCACCCAGCATCTCTGTAGTTAAACACCTCACCAGAGATATGAGAGACCTAGTGTCAGTTCTCTCCCTTCCTGAGCTGATCCGAACCCAGATCCTCCACCCAGCAAAGCCACAGGGTATGCTGAGGTTAGGTAACTCCGATCTTTTCTGCACTTTCACTTTGATAAAGTAGCTGAACAGTCACATAAACCCCCTTTGGAAGCAAAAGAAGGTGAAAAAAAAAAGGGGGGGGGGGAATAAAAGCATAATTTGACAGGTAATTTTGGAAGGACCCAAATTGCATTTTCCTACAAACTCAATATTGGGGCAGGGAATTGACCCAACTGCAATTTTCAGTATGATTTTGGCAGTTTCCTAGGAACAGCTGCCCTCCATTTCAGTGGTCTGTGGTGATCACATCTTCCAATGGCCTAGTTTGGCCTCATGTAAGAGGAGATAACAGAGCACACATTCTGTAGGCTTTCTTTAACACTTGTTACTTTTGACAAGGGTTCAGTATGTCCCATCAAAACTAAATTTTGTGAATTACTTAAATTCACAAAATGAGATTAGCTTCAGCACCAGTTCACATGTACACAGTAACTTTTAACAACACAAGGAACATAACACTTTTCATTTAGCAACTGATAGTTCTGCAATGCACTGGAAATACAAAGCACTACATAAGAACTCAAGTAATGGTTTGAAGGGTAAACAGTATCTTATAGTCTATTATAGCCATACATTAATTCTCAGGTCATAACACTAGTTATTTAACACTAATTTTTGCCCCATATACTTTTGTTTGTTCATTTCCAGTACCAAGCTTTTCTTGTAGAAAGCCATTCTCAGGAGGGTCTTTTTTATAAATATTGTTACAAAAAAACTGTGAAAGCTGGATGCCTATTATAAGGCAATATTCTTCATTGCAAAATACATGCTGATATGTACAGCCCAGTGTTACATTATCATCTCACTACTGAGATTATTTGTGATATTTAACAGGCAATTAATCTAAAACTGTAGTTTATTTTATTTGTAATGATCACCTTTCAAAATAACAGTATATATAAGATACTCTGTCAAGGACCTTCTGATATAAAACTAGCTTGGACTTCCAGTTCAGCCTGAAATATCTGCTGCTCAGGTTTGCTTCTTAAACATAATTTTACTTTCTTGAATACTAAAATGGAAAGCAGCCAGAAGGGGAAAGTGCAGGAAAGCCTGTCTTCTAAGCATGCTGATAGTAATAGAGCTATCTAGAACTGCCAAGAAGTATACTGACAAGAATAAAGAACAGTTCACATTGTTCTGATTTTGAACAGAATTAACTGCATGTTGCTGTGCAATGGAAGCAGAAGGAAGAATATGTACCATTCCATCTATATCAAAATCCCCTTCTGCAAACAAAAAGGCTCCATTTCCAGCTGATTTGGACCTGGTGATAGACCTCTGCCTCAGGAGTTCATAGATGCAATCAACCTGAAGCAACTACTGATTTATTTCTTTTACTACTCTTCTTCTGTTCTGGCTTTTAAAATAGTTTTTATTCATTATGAGAGTAATTCCTTACTATACCAATACTATAACTCTAACCCAAAGCACGTAGCATTAGCTGGGACTAAAGTAACACAAGTAATTTTTACTTACAAAAAAACAAAAGTCTAACCATTCACCCAAATGTTTGAGGCATATGATCTCCCTGATCCCCTCAGTTTTAATTGTGTGATGAGGAATTCAAAATGTCTATCTAGATTATGAAGAAACACAAGTACATTCTTTTTAATGGTTAAGGAGACTCAGAAAACAATCTGTTTGTGTGCTGTCATACTAACACTCAGACATGTTTGTCCAAGTCACACTAGACCAGAGGTAGCAACTTTCCAAGACAAGAAAACACTCTAAAATTATTCAGTGACATGTGACATTTCCAGTCTTTCCTTAGTTAAGATAAGCATGTATAAAAGAATGCAGCAACGTTGCTTCATGTATCACCTTAATGGAATAGAACAGATTGGCAGTTAATATATCTGCTATTCTTTAAAGCAGATGAGAATCTCCTTCCTGTTGAGCAGTCAGGCTTTTTCCAGTTATTTTTACATTTCTTTGTTTTAGTTTAGCAGGATGATTATTCCTGGGATTCTTTTAAAGTGCAATAGTGATATTTAACTTTCTTTCTGCATTTTTACATCTCTGCTGGGAGACTGTAAACTGAGAATGCTAAAGGCTGTTCTACAATTTCCTGTTTCTCTAGGTCAAATGTGACCCTGGAAGAAAGCTGTGGCAATTTTCCTTTTCCTTTTGATGTGAATCCCTTTGCAGCCTGGACAATCAAAATATTCTGAAATAACTCACAATTAGAGAATACTCCATGCTTAATCAAGCCCTGAATCCTTTTTGAAACAAAACTCATTAAGTTGCACCTAACAATACGAAAGTTTTGCACAGCTGTTTCCTAGGGCCCTGGAGGCCAGGTTAGTTACTTCCTAAACCATAAGGTACCATCAGCAGAGCTGCAGCCCCATCAGACAGCAATATCCTGTTCAGAGCTACACTTAAGAAAACCACTATCACAAATGAAAAGCATTAGAAATTACTGAAATGCTTCTCAGACAGTCTTGTTTAATTACAACATTTGCTTGGCCAGTATGTAACAGCCTGCGGACAGCACTTCAGCACTGCATCCTCTCTTCAAGAGTAGAGTACTAGTGTGTTTGGGTCTGTCACTGCCTTGACAAACATAGTGAAATTCACATGGCCCCTTCATTTTGTGTAAAATAAAATAATGGAAATGGTGGTGGGCAAGGAGCCTTCTGCAGCTCGCAGCATGGATGAATGGAAGACTCGCTTCTACAGCAAGAACGGCCCAAGTACATTCCTGCAGCATACCTCAGCTTAGAGACTGTGATGTTCCAACACCAGTGGATACATGGGCAGGAGAAATGTTATTAATTATCTTTACAAGATTACCAATAGCATAGGATGCACTACATCTATTTGCGATATGCTCTCTCACTACGCCACTTACCAATTTGCAGCTCTGGGTACATTTCATACAGACACCAGTCGACGTTGCAGTTGCAATGGGTTTTCTCAAAGAGATTGTCTAAAACATCCCGCGTCACCTGACGCTCATCCACCATTAGTGACTTTGTGCTGTTATCGTACATGTGCACCTTGACAACAAGCTGAATACAGAGTCACAGAAGAGTTAGTTAATTTCAGAAGCAAGTAAAAGGCTAGTCTGAATCTGCTAACACAGATAAGAAAGATTAAGGCTGAAGGTTATAACTGATTCAAAGGTACCCTGTCCCACAGTGAACTAAGGGAATAGAACAGCTTGGAAGCTTTAACATTATATTGCCCCTAAAATAAAGACTTTTTCTCAAAAAAAGAAAATTGAACCTTATCCTCTGCATGACTTCAGGAAAGGCGAAATTGCTATAGAGCAAAAGCAGAAGTTAATCTCTTCTCTAAATCTACTAGATGTGCAATTAAGGAAAATGCTTGATAGGGAAACCAAGTACAAAAGGACAGAGTGTCCTTACTAGAAATGTGGAAAGTTTTGTTTTAAATGAGAAAAAGAATGGAATATTGCCATGCCAACAGACCAACCTGAAATTGGATTGTACTAAGATGGGCAGTAGTCCAACATCCATCAATAAGCAAACAGATGAGTTATTTATATTGACCAAATTAACCTAAGATACTTGTTATTTCTTATTGCGAAGTATTTTTAAATGGGAAACAGTTTGCACTTTTTTTCAGAGAAGAATAATGCAAGAAAATGCTGAAGTATATAAAATGTGATAAAGAACAGCAAATACATAATAAGTACTTAAAAGGCTCATTTAGTGCTGAAAACAGAAGAAAATAGTCTACAGGATCTGTACAGGGAAACTGGAACTAAAACCGGTGAGCTGGGAGGACTTCTCCACACAGTCTTGTTCAAATAGCTCCTTATTTTAAAAACGTGTGCATAAGAAGCTTTGGTACTATAGAGACAATGTCTATTAAAGATCAGGTAGAAGCAGAGAGTGGTGATCCCCAAGAGAAAATCTACACTATCTCTGGAAAGTAAAAGCAAATGTAACAAAAAATGTGAACTTGCTTTGATTCCAACCCTTCTAAGTATCTTCCTCTCTAAAATAACTTAGCCATAGTGCAGATTATAGAGAAAAAGAAATGTTGTACATGCATAATCAACAATATGTGTGGGGAAAAAAGGGTATTTTTGTCTGCTTATAATTGACTGCTCAGAAACATGCATGCAGTTTTCATCTTCACAGAATTAGAGTGGTTGAGATTCGAAGGCACCTCTGGAGTTCATCCAGTCCAATCCCCTGCTCAAGCAGGGCCACCTAGAGCCCATTGTCCAGGACCCTGTCCAGATGGCTTCTGAGTATCTCCAAGGAGGGAGACTCCACAACCTTCCTGGGAAACTTGTGCCAGTGCTTAGCCACCTTCGCAGCAAAAAAGTGTTTCATGATGTTCAGAGGGAACCTCCTGTGTTTCAGTTTGTGCCCATTGCCTCTGGTCCTGTCACTGGGCATCACTGAAAAGAGCCTAGCTCCATCCTCTTCACACCCTCCCTTCAGGTACTTCTACAGATTGACAAGATCCCCCCGGAGCCTGCTCTCCTCTAGGCTACACAGTCCCAGCTGTCTCAGCCTTTCCTTATAGGAGAGATGCTCCAGTTCCTTAATCATCTTCGTGGCCCTTCATTCATAGGGATGGAACTCTCTTGAGCTTGGAGGAGGTGATCCTTGAATATTAACCAGCTTTCTTGGGCCCCTCTTCGCTCCAGGGTCTTATCCCATGGGACTCTTCCAAGCAGATCTTTGAAGAAGCCAGTCTCCTCTCCTGAAGTCCAGGGCTGTGAGCTTGCTTTTCACCTTCCTGCCTGGCTTCTGCCCTCTGCTTTTGGTAAAAGAGAGCAGACCAGTTTTCTTGACAATTATTTAGTCAATTTAAAACTCAAGAAGGACATAGTAATTTTGTTATAGTGACACGGCCACAAGCAGATTAAACCTTGCTTCTACCCTATGGTTCCAAATATCAAGGGTGGGAAAAAAAAGTGAAGGGAAAAAAAAAAAGTCTTCAAAATAAATGTTTCCTCCCAAAGGAGAATTGCTAACATTGCAAGGAGGGTGATCAACGAGTACTCATAAGTTTAGTTATAGAGCTTTCCAAAGACAGCATTGCTGAACTCCTCCAAACACATTCTCTCAGAAGTAGCATTTGTACATGCACATATAGTGTTCTGTGGGAACCATCTCAAGTCTGGACACCCCAACATTTATTGGAAGTTTCAAGTCTTCTTAGAAGCCCTGCAAACTCCGACCTCCAGCACTTCCCATCTCCTATTTGAGCAACATTAAAAGGTCACGACTTTTTTTCTTCACATCCATTTTTCAGAGTTACTGAACATCTGCAGCTTCTGTTGAGTTCAGCTGGAACACTAGCTTAGGATGAGTGGGCATAATTACATTACATACTGTAGCACCATGCAGAGACTGGCTGGAAGCTTTCTAATTTGTTTTGGTCTAAAATAATTTCTCTTATCCTTGTACATTACTACACCGCTGTGAAAAGATTTAATTTAATTGGGATTAGGTAAATCCACATCCACTGTAGAAGAAAAGTTTAATACTTCTGGAATAAGCACAGCATAAGTAAGCAATGTTTTTGTATACTTTCTACTTTCTCTAAAGCAACCTATCAGAACTGTGGGCTTTGCCCCAACATTGGGAAAAAAAGAAGCAGAGCCTTCCAAATCCTCTAAAAATACGTCCCTCAGAGGTAGCATTCTCCGAGACTTTTCTCATGCAGATGACAAGACAGGTCCATAAAACATCTTTAGATGCTCAAGTTACAAACAAAATACAAAAAAGCCTAGTGATTTTAGGAAGAACTTTATTATTGAGAAGAATTATAATAGATACTTAGCTGGTAGTTCTTATGGTAGCATTCCACTACTTTAAGGCTCACCTTTTTAACTTTGGCTTCCTTCAGTTTCTCCAATGCAAGTTTAATCTTGTCAGCTTTAGCCTGTGCCTCTTGTTCTTCCTGAAAAGACACAAGAGATTTGGAGTACTTTTTGTTAAGTAAGGCCAGCTATTCATGTTTACTTGAAAAAAGTTGTTTCTTGTTATTTATATCCAGAACATAAGGCTTGTCATGGGAAACGTCACAGTTACCAGAAATCCCCAGCTTTCCTTGAGCTAATATCCTCCAGCCAAAGCTTTTGCAAGTCCAATGCTTCCCTTTGTTGCCCAGTCATACAGCTCTTACATATTCTGTTCCTCAAATGCTACAGGAATGCTTGAAAACTGGACTATTCTATGTTTCCATACGGTTACAGCTGATACAAAAGAGAAGATGAAGGAAGATCTAGCCTGACCGAAATAGCACTGTGGATGCAGCCGCTTGGAAGAAAACTTGCCTCTTAATAGGGTTAAGAGAACTAGAGTTTTTAGGAACTTACTGAAAACTTGGCTTGCAATTATACCACTTACAGTTTTAAATTTTCTGTTAAGTACATTAATTGAATTCTTTCACTTGCCACATATGAGCTTTTACTGCACACATACTTACTGAGAGGAATATCTCCTTAAATTTGATGATCTCATGGCTTTTTATTCTAGTAATGCACCTATTCCCCTCCTTAAATTTGATGATCTCACACGGCTTTTTATTCTAGTAATGCACCTATTCCTATTAACACAGACACAGTTAGAGCACTGAAGGTCATTCCAGCTTTTGCTGAACGCCACAGTAAGATTCCTAAAAATCTCAGGATCACCCAGCTCTTCTTTTACAAAGCAGCTATATCAATATCATGCTCCTCTCTTAATATCAGTGAGGTTTGTGATCCAAGAAGACTCTGGATCACCAGCTGCTGAGAGTTTTAGGTACAGGTACCAGTTGCCAGTGCCTACTGTTGCCTCTGTGACTGGTGTATAGATTGCGACTGTTTCTTTTTGCCATCTTCAGTGGTCTCCTCTCGCAACATACAGAGTTGGAAAAGTACATTTTGGAGACCAAGTAACTGTGGTTCCTGGGGCTGCCTTGGAGGGTTCAGTTTCTTTCCAATTTTAAATCCCTGCTCGCCCTATTGAAAACTATCTTGTCTTTGCTTTCTTGCCTCTTCGCTGATTTTTGCTGTCCCTGTTGCGCTCTCTCACTTTCAGTTTCCTTTAAGGGGTAGGATTTTGTGCTATGGTACTCACAGGCACACCCAACTTCCAGTCAATGACTGTGGGAGAAAGTTCCTGCCCTGCTGCCACACAAGATTTTTTCTGTGTGTTACCTTCAGCCTCCCATTGTCTACCCCAATGTCAGTAATTTTAGTGGTCTTCGGACTAAGAGAAACCCAGGATGGCTGTAACTCATTGGAGATGCACTTGCAAGAAACCAGGCCTAACTAAGCATTGCCACTGTTTCCTTCTTACAGATATATCATAGAATCATAGCAAAAAAAGAGCTAAGAAGGTTATCTTATTCATCCCAAGCTTTGAGGCAGGTTCAACCACAACTAAAGTACTCCTGACTGACATCCCCCTAGCTGAACTAAACATCTTTTGTTTTATTATTGCTTCCCCTGGATACTAGCATCCTTTACGATGTCAAAAATACAAGGTGATGTGTGCAAAATGGAAGAGATAGCTTCAAGAATGTTTGCTGTTGTTCAAATTCTCCATTATAAATACCAGGCAATCAGTTAAAAAACATCTTTTTTTTTTTTTTTCTCCACAGGTATGGAAATCTGCACTGCTACAGCTCAGAGATGCTTAACTTTGAGAATCCAAAAATAGCTTCTGTAGTTGAACAGCAACTGTTGGACAAAAGTGGCTTTCACAGTAAGGCTGACTGTTCTACAGAGGGAAGAGCACACAGCCTCTCACACTGTGGTCCTCCCCTTACCATCTCAAAACACCTCTCTGCAGGAAGCAGGAAAAGCATCTTAACCAAAGGGGTTGAGTGTGCGGGCAGACTTTCTGCTGAAAATTTTAGGCAGGTATAACTCAGGCTTCACCTGCATGCGACCTGTGTTGAACAGAGTTCACGCATGGTACAAATCTGTGCAACAGAGCTCTCATCTGAGAGCCTTCACGTTTTCATAACCTTTGTCTGTCTTAATGTAGAAAAAGGAAACTATGCAAAGTAAATAAGCTATCAGATGCAAAATTTTAACACTGTTAAAGAAATGCTTTGACAGGCTAATAGATTTGTTTTCCCACTACAGTATCATCACCATGTTTTCATCTTCAAACAGAAGCACATAAAAGTCATCCAGATAGTGTCATAGAAAATGTAGAAGCCTTATTTAGCTTAAGGACAGTTTTAAAAAGAAACATCAGAGTTGATGGAAACTTAAGAGACAGCTCTATGACTCCCTGAAAGAAAGGCTGTACTTCTTAATTTTGGCACGCTTAAAGGATAGACAACAGAGTCATAGTACCACAGGCACATTGGGAATAATTAACAGTATTCTTATTTGACTACAGACAACCAGGAGCGTTAAACAAAATGTCAGCCTTGATTGGCTCAAGAATCACTTATCAAGAATCCTGGCTAACAGAAACATGGATTTTGATGAAACAAAACACATTCCATTTACAGGTGCATTTCATTCTACTGAGCAGTAAGGTCATGTCAAAGCAGGTCTGGAAGTCCATAGGCTGGGTCCCTGCCTAAAGCAGGACGGTCACCAATACTAGATTCAGTTGGCCATTATTTTGTCTGGCAAAGTTTGGAAAATCTCCAAAGAAAGAGAATCTGTGATCTCTTTGGGTCACCTGTTCCAGTGCTACACCACCTCCTGAAATGGAAAAGGTTTTCCTAATGTCCTGTCTGAAACTACAAATCTACAACATAGAATCATTTAGGTTGGAAAGGACCTTTAAGATTATCAAGTCCAACCGTAAACCTAGCATGGCCAAGACCACCACTAAACCACATCCCTAAGCACCACATCTACAGGCCTTTTAAATACCAACAGACACAGTGACTCCACCACTTCCCTGGGCAGCTTGTTCCAATGCTTGACAACCCTTTCAGTGAAGAAATTCATAGAATCATAATGTTTGGAAGAGATCTCAAAGATCACCAAGTCCAATCATATACCCAATGCCACCAGACCCGCTAAACCCACTAAACTATGTCTCG